CTGGCGGCAACCCCACCAGTGTGACCTGGCGCAAGAATCCCCTGTACTGCGTCAGAAACACTGGAACAGAACCTGTTTCCTTTGTAGTCATTATAAAGCACAATGACCAACGTCGTTTTTGGACTCCAGAGGAGGAGGACCTGATGTACACACAGTGCGGAATTGTTGTTTGCCAGTACACCTATGCTCAGAAGATCTCCACCTACTTCATCACCGGCAATAACCACAGGCCCATTCACAAGAGTTTGTTTCTCAATACTCGTGAAGTGACGAGCACCGTTACATTTCCTCCCGATTCCCTGTGCTACCTTGTCCCTTCATGCATGAAGAAGGGAGCTGAAGCGAAGTTTACCTTCGCGCTGTACAGAATGAAGAATCATGACTACACTCAACTGCAAGTAGAGCGACTTTCTATTCCTGGTATGACGTGGGACAACCCGATACAAACTACAGTTGAGCTTCAAATGCGCACGAGAAATCGTGTGGACTTTTATGTGGATCAAGAAACAGACATTCACATTCTGATGCATCAACTAAAACCTTACGTGAGCCCGAAAACAGGCGGTGACGCCATGGCCGAGGACTACATGGGCATGTACTTGTACGATGACGCGGATCGGAAAATTGGTGGAGTGCACGCCGCGACAAACTTTAGGGAGACAGCGATCGTCTACCACCTTCCCCGAAGTGGACGCTACGCTCTCTCTGTTACATGTCCACGTGGTACGGGAACTGTTCCTGCGCTGATTACGTTTGTTGGCTCTTCCCCGGCCAACACTCGTATCGTCGATGCCCCAGAGGATGCCGGCATGTTTGACGATGAGGACGACATTATCGAAGAGGGAGATGATTCCGCGCTTAGAAACAACCCCATCGATTACACTCCGAACAACATTCCTCCGGCCAAGATTATGGAGGTGCCTGACAGCACAACGCCCTTCGAGGACAAGCGGTTCATGGTGGACAACAAGGCCATCACCAATGACCCGTGGATCCACATTGGTGACTTGTACCCGGAAGGCAAGAAACTGCCGCTCCTTCCCGATAAGCTGGGCCGAGACCAGTTTGAGCAGGGCAGTCACTTTGAGTGCTGCTGCTTGGCCGCCTTCGCTGCATTTGTGGACCACCACCCCGATGTAATCCGCAACTTGTTTATAACTAAGAAGGTGCGAAAGGACGGCCGCTACACCTTCCAGTTCCACAGGTATGGTCAGTGGATGAAGGTGGAAATTGACGACCGCATCCCGCTGCTGGAGAAGCAGACCCTCTTCTGTCGTTCCCCTACCCGCCATTGGTGGCCCTTGTTGTTGGAGAAGGCGTACGCAAAGTTTTATACCCTGTACCAGAACGTTGAGGGGTGCACACTGCAGGAGTTGTACTACGACTTTACTGGATGCCCCGTGGTGAGCATCCCGACCGATCTGAAACTT